ATGTTGCCTGTTTTCTGACAGACAACATCGGAGAATCGTGGTGTTTTCTGAGGTATAAGTCGCACCTCCGCCTTGTTGCCTTGTCGCCCCTCGAGAATTTTTTTTGAATTTCTTTGAATTGAATTTTAATTATTCGTTGTGCTCATCTATGTGAATGATTTGCATTGGATAGGAGATGTTATAAGAATACTAAAATATGTAAAAGAAAGATAAAAAAGGAAATGCTGATTGAGAAACATTTCGCGAGCGCGTTGTCGCGTGCTCAGGGCCCATACAACACTAATAATTGCACTCTGCAGCCCAGAAAAAGAGTTATTATGAATATTGGTATCATTCATCAAATAAATGTACAGTAATTGTGTCAGTCAGATTGATTTGCCGGCCCTCATCTTCCGATCGATACACTTTTTTTTGATTTTCTTCATAGAGGGTGATTTTTCGCGATATTGGAATGAATGGTTTTGCGCAGTTTGGCCAGCAAGGGGAGGGGAAAGGGTGCGCATTTCGCCCTTTCGCTACTTCCTGTCAAGCCATCAAGTAGAGGGTTGTGAAAACTTGTGAAGCCGTGAAGTAATACCAGTAAAAGTTTATGGAGATGAAATGTCCAATAATGAAAGTAATACCTGTCAACTCTTGTGAAGCACGAACACGACGATGGGAAGTAGCGAACACAGGAAAAATGCCCCTCCCCCAAGCCAAACTGCACCTGGTATTCGCAACCTGATACTGAGGTTCTGCTCAGTGACCCTAGGATTTCAGAGTTTTTCGCCAGAGATTTTTTTGTCAAGGGTCACTGTCAAGCGTCAGAACTGTCAAGGGCATGCCAACTAAATCGAATAGTTTGAGGCGAGGTTTCTTTTGAAGTTTACTGATGTTATACGACTGTTCATAATTATTTTGCAATGAAATCTATCTCGAGCTTTACTGAGCTGATGTGAATTCGCTGCGAACCTAATGCGAACTCATTAGAAAACTAGTTTATCTAGTTCCGGACGTCCTTCATAAATTCATTAGATTAAGTTGTTTTATCGAATCTTCCGGTTACTGACGACTGCTCCTCAAGCACATACATCATAATCAAGTCATACATAAACACGAAACGGTATACTAGTGTTCTGAGCAAGTGCACTTTGCTGTGGGCGTTCAAGATAGGGCAAGTCGTACATCGAGAATACCCAGGGGGGGGGGTGAGGGTCATATTGATCGCTGGGAAGGGGAGCGTATTTGCCTCTAAAAAATGTTTTCGATTGATGTCTTTTCTCGGGATTTCTCGTTCGAAGTGCTTTGCATCTCTACCCTGCCGGATCGACGGCATTTCATTTGAAGGACATTGTAGACAGGGCACATCATAGTTGGGGATTCCCCAATAGGAGAGGGAGGGTCGTATTTTACTGAGAAATTTTTTTAGTAATTTTTTCAGTTGATTTTTCTTGCTTCACGGGCGCTAGAGGGGGGAGCGTATTTGCTCGTTGTTGAGAAAAGGTTGCTGTGTAGTCCCCTCCTCAGAGAACTTCGGCGCTGGTTAAAAAGTTTCCCCGGTGCTGACTTTTCACGGTTTTTCCTTTTTGACATGTGCTATATACCCCAGCGCGGTTGTTTCAGAAGAGGGAACTAGGGGAACGCTTCAAGTATCTTCTAGGGTGGGGGGGGGGGGGGGGGTGTCACACGGACTCAACCAAAATCCCCAACCAGTGACGTGTCCTGTGTAGAACTCCTTGGAGAACTAGGAAAAGTTGGTAGGAAATAGGGAGAGACGGGCAGGAGCAGGAGGAAACTATGAGGGAGGGCGGTGTCTCGTTAAATTTTTCTTGGTGGCAGGACGTGCCCTGTTTCAAGAAGTCACTTGAGGAAAGCCTTATGGAAGCGTCTTGGGTTGTTAAATATAGAATATTTCACTGCATCGGATAGATATCTTACCTCATAGCAAAGCTCCTTCGTTCTGAAGTACAATTACTAGTTCATCGCATAGAAATATAGTTCTCAATCACGGTTGTGCGAAAATGGTGAGCGATTATCTGAGCCACAGCGCAACCGCTCGCAGACCTGCCGTTTATTGGCGCCATTCGCTGGCACCACTGTGCCGAGAGGTTCTTTTCATCTCGTTCATGCGTCTCCATCACAATTCTTCATCACGCATTACACGGGTACAAGTGATGGGTAGGGGCTTCAAATACGATTTTGTTGCTAAAATAAGTGGTACAAAAATAAAAACAGGAGAAACTCCCAAAAAACTCCTGCATAAGGTCCTTTTCGCAGGTGTTGAGCAGGAGGAACATGGGAGAAGCGAGAGCCGAAGAGACAATGGCAGCTCAGGCGATACAGCAGAGACAATATTGAGAGAAAATTAGGTAACTGACGAGATAAGACATCAAAACGCCAATAGCGTTACCCCTGTGGTAGGGCTGCTGGCTAACGCCTCAGTGGCTTTGGGAAGGTGGATAACACCTTCAATGTTTTCGCTAGTCACTTTCAAGTCGCTGTGGGGAGACAGCCTCGGCGATACCAGGGCTACGTTGTACGAGGAAAGTATTCTACCTATCACTTAATCGCGGACTGTGCCTTTAAGTCAGTGTCGAGATCGTGCGAGGTCGTAAGCACTTTTCAGAATAGCAAGCAACCTAACTCTTAGGAAGAGAGTTCCACTTGACAGCGCCTCTTCATCCCGTCCCCCAAATAAGGCCTTAGCTATGGGAAGACCGTCTTCTATGCGAGGCTAGTCTTCGGCGACACTGGTAGACTGCAGTCTGGGCCCAAGCAATGGCTAGGGGAGATTTACAGAGGCCGCCATCCGTAATGTGTACCCCTCCCCCCCACTCCCCACATAGTTTTCTTCTTCAGTATAAATTTCCTCCTTGCCATGGACGAGCCGGTCATGAAAGAGCGAGATCAGTCAGAGAGATTGTGTATTTTTGTTCTCGAATAATCTGCTCGAGATGGAAATCGCTCAAAAAGAATCTTCCAAAGGATCAATCTTGTTCCAGCCAGGACTATAACGAAGGAGCAAGAGGTCTTCGACTTCTTGTTTCTCGTTTGAAACCTTCTATAGCTATTTTTTCAATTTAGAAAAAATCTTTCCAGAAAATAAAAGGACAAAGCACTAGTACTAATATTCCATTAGGAAGGGAATTCAGTGCAGAACACCCATGGCGTTTAGGAAAACCGCTAGAATGATCAAATTTGAACATTAGGGGAGGTCGTATTGGCCAAGTTTTAAATAGGATATTGCTCCGCAGTAATTACAGTCTTGTTCGCTGCGGATGCTGAGGCGTTTCAGGGGACCGGCTTTGGCGCGGCAGCCACTCCTCCATCAGATAGCTTTGAGACAAGCGGCGACATTGACCCTCCCCTGCCTCCCCGCTGCACCCCTTGATCCGCGCAAGGATTCGCAATGAACAAGGCTAGTTTCGTCCGCACAGCATTCTCTTGTCCGTTGACTTGAGCAAAAGTCGTCATCCTTCCCGCTCGCAGTATTCTTTTCCACATTTTCCAGCATCGAACGCTGTGCACAGGGTATAGCATCATTGCGTGAAACACATGGGGAGGGGCGTACTTGGCCATCAGCGAGGGATAGTCGTATGTGGTCGTTGTCAAGATATCTGCTTTTGAGAAAAATCCCCCCTCTCCGCCCTCCGCTCGACGGAAAATTTCTAGGTGAAAAACTGGTAGGAAGCTGGGAAGTTGTAGGAAATTAGTAGGTAGATGTTGGGGAACGGGAGGGGGGGGGACGTACCGAGACCCTCTTTTAGGTGGGAAGGAAGGAAATCCCTAGAGGGGGAGGGGGTCGTACTGACACCACCATTCACACATCACGACCCTGGCTGTGCAACATTTCAAACAAGAATGGAAAATGACGCTTCGCAGTCTAACAGCGCTATGTGTGGAAAGTTTATATTACCGTAATCCACTCGGACTTGAGCACCAAACTGCTCCACCTCACTAAGGGTGGCCGCGCCGGGCCGCGCGCGCCGGCCGGGGCCGCGCCGGCGCCGCCGGCGGGGCGGCCGCCCGGGGCGGGGGCGGCCGCCGGGCCCGGCGCGGCGCGCGCGCGCGCGCCCCCGGCGCGCCCCCCGCGGGCGCGCGGGCCGGCCCGCGCGCGCCGGCCTCTGGCCTCTAAGATCTCACCAGGAGGTAACGAAGCTGTTCGAAGTGTTTTTTTTCTAAACAGAAATGAAGCAGGGAGAAGAAGCGCTGATGTCAGACAACCCGGAGGTCGGCCTGTTTCACCAACAGGTTCCATGCTGCATATACCAATTACTTGCGTAACCAAGTTGCACTAGAGAGAAAAATTTCCCTCTGACATCGCCCAAGTATCTCGAAATACTTGAGATGCGGTAGACGTGGCTGCGTACTTCAGTTGAACGGGAAGGTACTGTGCCTTTGGTGAGACATTTCCAATTTGAGACACTCGTGGTCATGCCTCTGTCGAACGCAGTCTTTACAAATTGAAAGATCCTATGAGTGACCCATTCTGTGCCAAGTTCAAATGCCACGCCTACTCCGTCTCAGGGATAAGGAGTCATTGTATAGGACAGATATACGTACAAAGGCTTGCAGTCCGTGGCGCATTCCGAAGTTATGCTCTATTTGCTGTCCTTTTTTAACTTTGTGACACAATATATGGATTCCTATCCATACTTAAAAGTATAAAAGAACCTCAAGTGATGGTTTTCTCTTGGACAGCCCCCCTAGTTGGCAATGATAGAGCATCCCTCCTCGGTGGGGGGTCGCACGCGATTTGTGCCAATGCACCACGCTGGCGCCGATTCAGCTCGGCGGCGTTCCAAATCGCGCGCAAGATGTGTCGTCGTTCTTCTCCAGAGCTCTCCTTTTTGCCCTCAGTTCATGGGAGTTTCTGTGATTCTTGCTTGTCTGCTAATGCTTTCGATGCACGCTTCTCCGAGTTCCAAGTAATTCCTAGTTGTTTGCAGGTCGCTCATGTTTCGATACTCGTTCGTTTAACGTAGCAGTACTCATTTACATATTCACTTATTCTGTCGGAAATGGCTGCAGTACCTTTGAGTGAGCGAGAGCAACTCGCTTCACTTGTCGAACAATGGAATGAGAATCGTTTGGATCTATTTCACCTGAGCTATCCAACTGAGGTCAGTAAGTGTTGTCCGATCTTCAGTCGTTTTTCTTTTTTTCTCGTTTTTTTTTGGTTTTTTCTACATTCTTTGATCACCATACGAGGAGCTGGACGGCTGAGGAAGGGGCCATTTCAAGGAATCTTTTTCCATAGTTAGAATCAACATAATTCATAACCCCTTTGGTGTCGCGCTGGATCACCCATACCGGAGGTTTCCTCCTAGGTTTTGGCGGAATTAGTTTTAGCAGTTCCAGTTTTGCACGAGGGGTCCTTTAAATGCCTCCCTCCAATGAACGAATTGCACCCATTTCGCTTATAAAAACCTAAGGATACTACGATTAGTAGGATGTCTAGTAAGTCATCGTTGGAGGTCTTTCATCAGTAGGCTTGAATAAGTGGTTTGGGTTACTAATGCCCCGCCCCTCTCGTCAAAATGCTGGCCATTGTGTCCCAAATTTCGATCAAAATCTTTATTAATCCGATGATTCCAGGATCTCGAAATCGAGGGCGTCATGCGCTTCTACTTCCAGGTTTGATTTCCATCTTCGCTTTTTATTTCCTTGCAATATTCATTAATATTTTTATTCTATGTGTTCATTAACATTACTTGTTGTTGTGTTATATGTTTGCTATGTTATCTTCCGTTCTTATAGATGTTTTTAGCGAAAGTATCCGCGCCGACCGTGACCTTGACACGTCGCCATATTCTTGCAGTTAATGTCGCGCGTTTGTGCTAGTTAGAGGGACACCTTGGCCTGTGAAATGGCTGGTCCACAGCCTGAATGGTAGAAGAGCGTTGTCCTCGCAAATGATCGTTCGGTTGGGACAAGCCATTTCTTGAGTGTAATCCGATGAAGATGAAAAAGTTGGCGATTTCAGTGCGCGATCTCTTCTCGGCGATTTATTGACCCTATTTCGGTACCGTCAGTTAGCGGGCAACGATGGTGCGTTCCCATCGTCGGGAAAAGCGGTCAGCCGGATAATCTCCTAGCGCTTTGGTTTGAGACCCAGTCAAGCGATAGCGTCTGAGTTCTATGACGGCTGGTCATTAGCCTTCCTACCGTGGAACACCGGCATAACAATCTCTTCGTATGATCTGCCTTTCAAGCCTAGGTCTGAGAAGTTGAGGGTTAGTTACAGCCTATTCGGGAGCCTGTGAAAGCACCCACTAGTCTTTCCATTGGCTGAAGTCTTTTGTATTCTCACACAGATCGCATTGGCTAGCCTAATCTCCAGAAATTTCCAATTTGTTTATTATAAGTGCGGAGTGAGGCGAGGCGGTGTAGTGACAAATGGCATGCTTACCACGCGTTCGGTCCTTAGGTCAAATCGCGGATCGGCTCCCTTTGGCCAACTGATTTTGCTCTCCGGGGCCGGTAAATTGGTACCAGATTCATCTGGGAGTATGAGAACCCTGGCTTGTACACCGGCTGGCCCTCACAAGTCACGCCATCCTTCCGGTGTGGTGTATAGCGCAGTAGGGGGGGGGTCAGATTTGGTGGACCACGGATCAGCGAGGTAGACAAGGGAGATGGGACGTGAATGAGGGGATTACATGACGGATCACGGGCGGACGTCAGATAAGGCAAGATGCGAAAGGACTTCTTGTGAAGAACTAAGTGATGTGAACTCTGCCCAAAGAAACAAGTCAAAGGAAGAGGAGCAGGTTCCTAGAGCTCCTTCCCTGAGAGGCTAGACGAAATACGGAATGCGATGTGGCTTATACAATGACTTGCGGTGGCTTATAAGCAAGTGTTTTTATCCTGTCAGACGAATTTGTAGCAGTGTCCCCTAAGGGTTGAAGACATAGTTGGCCTGGACGGGAGCTGATCCGGGTTTGACTCACGACTGTGGGCACAGTAAGAGTGTCACTCGCCAGTACACCACCTCCTCTGTCACTTATATAATTCTCTGTTATTTTACAAGAAATCGCGTTTTTTTGAATCTCTGAAGTTTATTTTGTTAGACTTTCCAAAAGAATTCCAGTTTGTGAATCATTTCTACCGTTCCCTTCAAAGACTTTTTTTTTGCTCGACGAGAGTTGTACTGTTGAGTATGGTAGTGGTGGTAGAATTTCGAAAACTCTGCTACTGGGAAGTTTTACCTTCTTATATGTTTTCCTCAGACTCAGATGCTTAAACAGCCCTGTTAGTACAGCAGTATGCGCCAAGAGTAAATAAAGTGTTATCGTTCTAAAGGAGTATCCTCCGTCTTTGTCAGGATGGTGGTGAGAGAGTGCTGACGAAGTGTGTCCGTGTATCCAGTACAGCGACAACACGTGCCGTCGTGGAAGCGTTGACCGACAAGTTTCTGCCGGATTTAAAAATGCTTTCGGATGACACCTATAGTCTGTGGGAGGTAAGAATCGTTTGTTACTTGTCTTTTTTCGATTTAGTGTTTCATATTTAGTTTATTTTGTAGTCGCTGTCAAAGAGTGAAGCTT